TATGGATGAGGACAGTTCGTGGGGAGTGAGGGTGGAGGGTGGGGTGGGAACTGGGAGGAGGGGAGCTATGGGGGGAAAAAAGAGGAACAAATGTAATAATCTGAACAATAAAGATTTAATAAAAAAAAAAGAAATAGGAACTCAATATAGGCTGAGTCACATTAATGTCAGAATCTTAAAGATTTACAAACTCCTTCAAGATGGTTCCTTATAAAGCCTCCCTGATTATGGGAGTTGTCATGAAGCCTAGTCATACCTATGTCTCTTGTTCTTAGAATTTCATCAAATCCTGCCTCCCTTCTCTCTCTAACAGGATCCCTATAATACACTCTATTTTACTAGAACTACCTTGAGAGGTTTTCTAGTAACCAAAGCAGCCTGACCAAAACCATATTCATGAGTCTCTGTTTTAAGTATAAATCTTGATAAGCAAAATGGAATGAACTCTACCTCTTGATCTTTTGGTTTGACATAATTTGATGGAAAAATTCCAGTTCTATCTCCAATACTGCCTGTCCACCATTCTCCATCTTTCTGAGTTACCAGTATTTCTTCACCTTCTGAGAATGTCAAATCTCCAGGTTCTACACTTGAATACGGATAAAGTGCAATATACTCTGTAGGAAACAAAGCAAAAAGGAACAAATTTTGGTTGAAAAATTGCAGAAGTTAAAAAATTGTGTTAATTTCTAAGATCCTGAATAAATTTACTGTAAAAGATCTTATGACTTAAGGAAACAATATAAAGAGATATTAAGACAGAAAAAAGAATGAAGCAATTATTTAGTAATTTATTAGAAAAAGATTTGATTTCACATAAAGCTTTATTGTGGGGTTTCTTTTTTTTAATTGTATCATCATCATTACCATCATTATCATCATATCACAGAGAATAACCCCAAAACTATGAAGAGATACCAGTATCTCCACTTTATAGAGTCAAAATATGAAAAACAATTTAACCTCTTACAGAAAATATATTCTAATCTGTTGTTTTCTCTTTAATTATTTTATATCCACACCTGTAGAAATGCCCAATATTGAGTTGACATCAATATTAGAGGCCAAATTCCATCACAAGGACTCAGCTCTTAGCCCAGTGTATGGCATGGAGTAGAAGCTCAATAAATATTTTGTAATGAATGACCTTGAGTGAAATGTCTAACTTTTAATACTGGCTTTGTTTTTGGTTCCTATGATTGCAAATTTAGGAGAAGCAGTCAATGACCAGGTTTTAGAGACCTTTCTTTCTTTAGGGTTTTAATTTGTCAACATGGGATTTGATCTATACATCATCAACTGGAGATGACCAGAAACACCACCTACAATAAGTATGTCAAAAGTAGGTTTACAGTTGTTTGCATGGAAAATAATACAATAGTTAATAAATAATAATACAAAAATAAACCCTGTTTCATGTACTCACAACTGTAAGCCTACTTTTGCCCCACCCTGTATTGTAACTATTCATGGAAAAAAAAATGTCTGCAAAGACAGTAGTCAATCTTTATTTAATTTTTCAGCATAGTAACAAGATCAAAATAATTTATTAGTCAAACAATCCTAAGGGCTATAAATATTCTTTGTAATATTTATAATATAGTGTATTTTGATTTCAAATTTTACTTAATGATTTATATGGTACACTGTAATTAAAATGCAATTCGTAAATAAACTAAATATACTAAAATTTCTTTACATCCTAAACATCAATAATGTGGATATATAATTGCAGGAAAACAAAAACTTTTGTGCTATCTCATTGCTATACTTTTAATTTATGATCTTATTTATCGAGGCAGTGTATGGTGAAATTTTATAGTAATGATTTTTTAAAAGTGTCAAGTATATTCAGTCATATGTTTTATATATCCTCAATATACATGTGAAATAGGCAAGGGGCTGGTTTTCCTAACCTCACTTCAACAACGAAGACAGAGAAGTATGGAGAATGACAACTGTGGGAAGTTAGTTGGTAATCTGACTCCCATCTAATATACAAATTGTCAAAAGCTCACCTTCTCCAACTGTATAGGCTGCGGAGGTAGGTTTCTTATTTACAGCTGCATACAGAGCTTCTGGCCTGCCAGATAAACACACAAACAGATAAATCAAAGAAACAAAAAGGGACACCAATAATCAAAAAACAAGAAAGGTATTCGATGAATACAGCAGGTGTTAGCAGCACATTTTTTTAGGGCTTTCTAAAATTAACTATTACCTCAGTACACAGGCTACAAATATTCTTATACACAAAATCCTAGAGTAACTGCCAAATATCAAACTTCTAAATTTTTAAATATATCTAAGTAATTTCAACATGATTTATCAACAGTTTTTTCAAATGTGCTATTATTTTGCATTTCTAAAGGGACTTAAAAGACATAAGTGCCCAGCTGGCATGACTCAGTGGTTGGGTGTTGACCTATGAAGTAGGAGGTGAGGGTTTGATCCTGGTCAAGGGCACATGCCTGGTTGTGGGCTCAATCCCCAGTTGGGGGCATGCAGGAGGCAGCCGATCAATGATTCCCTCTCATCATTTATGTTTCTATCTCTCTCTCCCTTTCCCTTCCTCTCTGAAATCAATTAAAAAAAAAAAAAAGACATGAGTGCATTAACAAATGGGCAATTATTTGGTAAATTACACATGGAGCATGAATCAGAACAGGGAAAAACAAGGGTAATACATATATCTTACTATTTGTTTAGCGCACACAACATTAAAATATATATATTACTGAACAACATCAGACAATTAAAAAATAATGTCTTTTAAGCACTGCCTGGCTCAGTGGTTGAGTGATGACCTCTGAACCAGGAGGCTGACTCATCGTGAGAACACTCAGAAATGCTTACTCTTCCCGTCTGACTTCACTCCCAGGGATGATTTTGACATAAGATTTTGGAAACCATCCTCTTCCTCCATGTACTTCCCCAAACCACCAATTTTCTTGCTGCTCCAAGACAGTAATAACATCATGTTTTGAGAAGTTCAAGTGGTTATCTTTCTTTGCAGTCCAGGAACAAAGGGCCTGTGCTTTTAGATTTTCTACAACCTGTCCCTGTGAATACAAAACCACAAAATTAGAAACAAAACATTAATAATCAGGATATACTTCCTGTTCAAACAGCAGATGAGTTTGGTATGGTGGTGACTTATAACTAACTAGAGGCCCGGTGCATGAACTCATGTATGGGTGGGGTCCAGCTAGCCCATGCTGGTCAGGGGGAGGGGACGTGGTAGGTTGGCCAGCCAGCCCTGCCCCCAATAGTGATGAGGGGGGTCAATCGGGGGCAGGGCCAGCTGGGGTGAGGGGACACAGCTGGCTGGGGGGAGGAGCTGTGGGAGGTTGGCTGGCCAGCCCCATTCCTGTTCGGGGTGGGGGCTGATCGGAGCCCTGATTGGGCCAGTTGGCTGGCCACAGTGCACGTCATAGCGACCAGTGGTTCTGGTCGTTCCACTTGCTTGGCTTTTATATATATAGACTAGTGGCCCGGTGCACAAAAATTTGTGCAATCGGGGGGGAGGGGGGTCCCTCAGCCCGGCCTGTGCCCTCTCGCAGTCTGGGACCCCTCGGGAGATAACGCCCTGCTGGCTTAGGCCTGCTTCCGGGTGGCAGAGGGCAGGCCCAATCCCTAGGTGCAGCCCCTGGTCGGGCTCAGAGCAGGGCCGATTGGGGAGTTGGGGTGCCGCCCCCTGTCATGCACAGAGCAGGGTGGATTGGGAGGTTGCGATGCCACCCTCAGTCACGCTCAGGGGAGGGCCGATTGGGGGGTTGGGGCACTGCCCCCTGTCACACTCAAGGCAGAGTCGATGGGGAGGTTGCGGCGCCACCGCCTGTCATGCACAGAGCAGGGCCCATCAGGGGGTTGGGGAGCTCCTCCTGTCACTCACAGAGTAGGGCTGATAGGGGAGTCGGGGCACCGTCCACTGTCACACACAGAGCAGGGCGGATCAGGGGGTTGGGGCGCCACCCTCTATCACTCACAGAGCAGGGCCGATCAGGGGGTTTGGGCGCTGCCCCCTGTCACGCTGATCCTGGTGCCGGGAGGCCTCGCAGCTCCGCTGATCCCGGTGCTGGGAGGCATATTACCCTTTTACTATATAGCATAGAGGCCTGGTGCACGGGGGGGGGCCGGCTGGTTTGCCCTGAAGGGTGTCCTGGATCAGGGTGGGGGTCCCCACTGGGATGCGTGGCCAGCCTGGGTGAGGGGATGATGGCTGTTTTCAGGCTGGCAGGTGACGGAAGCTCCCAGCCGCTCCTTTTTTTCTTTTTTTATTCTGGGCCAGCTTTATCTGTGGCTCCAGCTCTGCGGCCTCTGCTAATGGGAAAGCGGAAACCCTCGGGCCCAGACTTGATTGTGTTCTATAATCGAAACTCTGTATCAACTCCAGCTCTGAGATCCCCTGAAAGCAGGTTTCTGGAGTGTTTTTTAGCTTCTATATGTTACTATGTTTCAAACTGCCTGCTCAGAGGCCTGCAGCAGCAGGCGGGGAACGTTGGAGTCCGCCGTCACTGAAGCAAGCAAGCCTCATTCATGTTCGCTTTAAGCTGCCTGGCTGTCGGCTGCCATTTTGGCTGTCAGTTAATTTGCATATCTCGCTGATTAGGCAATGGGAAGTGTAGCGGTCGTACGCCAATTACCATGTTTCTCTTTTATTAGGGTAGATAGATGGTGACTTAAGACAACCTTAATCTACTGACTTAAAATTGTATATGACAGACAACCATCTGAGTAGCCTTCTGGTAAGTAAGACTGAATGCCTACCAGGCAAGGACAAAGCTTGGCATTAAGTACCACTGGGACAGAAAGTGAGCACTGCCTACTCTGTAGCTAATAGAACAAATGCAAAGGGAAAGGTTACTGCAAACCTGTCTCTCCTCCAGTGTCCAATGTGTCCTCCGGCACTGGACTCAGGTGACTCCTCAGGGGAGTGGTTTTGTTTGGCTGGCAAGGCTAATCTCTTTACCTCTGCTCTAATCTGCCCTCCAATTTTCTCAAAATAGTGTTACACTGTCAAGTCCCTCTCCTGAATCTTCTATCTCTTCCATCTCTCTACTTTTCTACCTACTTGTTCTTCCAAATTTCTTAAAGAAAGAACAGTCTTAAACTTGCATTCCAATTTCACCCCTTAGTCCATTCTAATTTAGGTTTTGCACCCATTATACTTCTTCTTGAGGTCATCGATAACAAAAAGCCAAAAGCTTCTTCCAAACATTATTTTCTCTGATTTCTGAACAGTGCTGACATAATTAAAACCTTTGCAGTTCCTCATAATTAAAACCTTTACAGTTATTTATTTATATGTCTGTCTCATTAGATTATGATTTTTTAATGGCAAGGGTTTTTTCCGTTAAATTTCTAGCACATAATAAAATGCCTGGAACCTACAGTCACACAATAAACATTTTTTTGAGTGAAGCTGAAATCTCTAGGACTCTATTCTGACTAAGTCTGCAATTTTTAAAAATAATGTTAATTAACAATGCCTGCAATAGTTGTATCTAAGGTAGAGGCTAAATGTACGTAACACAGTTCCCACACAAATGACTTAAGAAAAAGACCAAAAAAACAAAAAACCCCAAGTCCAAATCTCTTCTTAAAATAACTAAAAATTAAGAACACCATAATCTGATTTGTAAAAATGGTATTTTGAGGTTAGAAGTATTAGCTGCTAACAGCTTGATACCATGAGAATGAATTGTTAAAAAACCTCTAAGTAATAATAATTTCTTCATATCACATGTGAATAATAAGAACAAAACTAAGTGCTACAAACTCTGATTAAACTAGTAAATGATGCCTTTGTACAAAAATCTTCATTCTATTTTATATGAATCAGGAGCAATGTCAAAAAATAAAGCAAAAAATATTAAAGATCCATACCTGTCCGTGAATAGGGGACACAGATCCAGGGGACACAGTGCGAGTAAAAGCTGACTTTTTCTGCCATGATGTATTAACAGTTAGGTTTGAAAAAGATACATTTTGATAATCAGTCACTGATGCTGGCTGATTTGAAGAAAGTGATCTGTAAATATAAAACTTTTATAAGTATACTTAATTGTTTAGAATCTAATGAAGCACTACCAATGTATCAATTTGTAATATAATATACTAGAGGCCTGGTGCATGAAATTTGTGCATGGGGGTGGGGGGAAGGAGGTGTCCCTCAGCCCAGCCTGCACCCTCTCCAATCTGGGACATCCCTCTCACAATCCAGGACTGCTGGCTCCCAACCACTCGCCTGCCTGCCTGCCTGATTGCCCCTAACTGCTTCTGCCTGCCAGCCTGATCGATGTCTAACTGCTCCCCTGCCAGCCTGATCGCCCCCAACTGCCTTCCCCTGTCGGCATGGTCGTCCCCAACTGCCCTCCCTGCAGGCCTGGTCCTCTCCACAACTGCCCTCCCCTTCCGGCCTGGCCACCCTTAACTGCCCTTCCCTTCCGGCCTGGTCCCCACCCAACTGCCCTTCCCTTCCGGCCTGGTCGCCCCTAACTGCCCTCCCCTGCAGGCCGAGTCACCCTCAACTGTCCTCCCCTGCAGGCCTAGTCCCCCACAACTGCCCTCCCCTGCCAGCCATCTTGTAGTGGACATCTTGTGACCACATGGGGGCAGCCATCTTGTGCGCGGGTGTGATGGTCAATTTGCATATTACCTCTTTATTATATAGGATATAGGATAATGTTTAAACAGAATTTGTGGAAAAAAGAATTCACGAACAAACTAATGACCTATGTTTTAATTACCAAGTTTCAGTTTTAACATTAGAACAGGAGGTACTCTTGAAGAGTCCAGTACAAATTATAAAACAATTAAGTCACAGGCTGACATAAATACGTATTGGGCATTCACTCATTTGCAGAGCTATATAAACTCCACTGTTAGCTAAAAACTTACTCAGAGCCCTAGCTGGTTTGGCTCAGTGGATAGAGGGTCTGCCTATGGACTGAAGGGTCCCGGGTTCGATCCCAGTCAAGGGCACATGCCCGGGTTGAGGGCTTGAGCCCCAGTAAGGGGCAAGCATGAGGCAGCCGATCAATGATTCTGTCATCATTGATGTTTCTCTCCCCCCCCCACCCCCCGCTTCCTTTCTGAAATCAATAAAAATATGTTTCAAAACAAAACAAAAAAAACTTACTCAGAAGTTGAGGTAGCAGATAAAGATACGGTGGGAGGAAGTATGGCCTTTTTAGGAGACACAGATTTTTCACTTGATGGCATTTTTTCTACATAGTTGCATGGAAACCAGCCAAACTTTCCTTGGAAACTACCATAAAGCCAACCAGGTTCTCCTATGGTTTTTTCATCAACCTATGGAAACGAAAAGAATGGTTAACAGTGGTTAGAAAGCCACACTTTTACAGTGGAAAGGGATGCAGACTTTGAACACAACCATTGTGACATTGCTAGAGTCAAGCTGATAGCTGAGATGTCTACTGAGTCGCTAAGGGGTGGCCAGTGTATGCAGCACAGATATGCTGGACACTGATGATTCACATCCCGCCCGAGACAGAACACGATGTCATCATGCTGCTCAGATGGCATGCTATTTAAAACTTATAAATTGTTTTATTTCTGGAATTTTCTATTTAATATTTTCAGACTGTGATTGACCAAGAGTAACTGAAATCACAGAAAGTGAAACTGCAGATAAAAAAAGATATTCCATTGTATTCAGTTCATGAGATAAAAAGACTTTGTTCCTACCTGTATTATATCCCCAGAATTAAAACTCATTTCATCATGGCTCCTTGCTTCAAAGTGATATAAAGCTCTATAATTCACCAACTCACTAGCTGGCTCACCTAAAGAGAAGATAATTGTCATTATTTGCTACTTTCATGTATACATTTTGCTATGACTCAATAAAGAACACGTAAAGAAAAAAGAGAAAACTGAGAATCAAACTGTATGATGAAAATCCATTTGTATAGTCTTGTTAGGATTTAAATATCTTGAATAGTCTTAGAATCACTATAAAAGCAAACAAGGATGTTCATCTTAAGTAAAGTTGGAGGCAGTAAAACAGGGGTCCTCAAACTACGGCCCGTGGGCCGCATGCAGCCCGCCGAAAACATTTATCCGGCCCGCCGGGTGTTTTTGCTGCCGCTGTGTGCATAGGAATTTGTTCAGAGTTCTTTTTTAAACTATAGTCCGGCTCTCCAACGGTCTGAGGGACAGTGAACTGGCCCCCTGTTTAAAAAGTTTGAGGACCACTGCAGTAAAACAAAGAGATAACTTGCAGGTGTATCATGCGCAGGGATCTAAGGGAGTGTTGGTGGCTGAGCCATGCAAAGTGGAAGCAGCAAGTGGCTTGTTAGTTTGATCCGTGACGTCAGAACATAACAGGGAAAAAGAGCACAAAAAGGGAGGTCACAAATGAGATGATTAGCAAGTAACCAGGGTTGACTAAAGGAAGATCTATATATTTACAGTATGGTTCTAAAAGAAAAACCACAGAAGGGCTCACAAATACACTAGACTTGATAAGATTAAGATATTTTACTTTGGTCATTTGTAGAATAAATGTTTTAGCTTATAAAATTTTCAACATATTGTATTATCAAGGATTTAATGATCTATACATTCAAAAGAGATATAATAATAAAAAATATTTTAGGAATGGTATATAAAAAACAAAGTAATGTTCTAAAAAATTTTAATGTGCAAAGACTTAAAATTTTATTGTTTCATTAAAATAAACAGTTTAGGCCTAGCTGATTTGGCTCAGTGGATAGAGCGTTGGCCTGCGGACTGAAGAGTCCCAGGTTCGATTCCGGCCAAGGGCACATACCTGGGTTGTGGCTTCAATCCCCAATAGGGGACCTGCTGGAGGCAGCAAATCAATGATTCTCATCATTGATGTTTCTCTCTCTCCCCTTTTCCCTTTCTCTCTGAAATCAATAAAGAAATAAAAAAATATATAAACAGTTTAGTTACACTAGCTGAAAAAAATATGTGAAACTAGCCGAAACTGGTTTGGCTCAGTGGATGGAGCGTCGGCCTGCGGACTGAGGGGTCCCGGGTTCGATTCCGGTTAAGGGCATGTACCTGGGTTGCGGGCACATCCCAGTGGGAGATGTGCAGGAGGCGGCTGGTCGATGTTTCTCTCTCATTACAGTTTCTAACTCTCTATCTCTCTCCCTTCCTCTCTGTAAAAAATCAATAAAATATATTTAAAAAAAAATATGTGAAACTGTTTACTTAGATTATGAAAACCACATCATGGTCTTTTTGTAGTGATGACTTACTTTTTTTCTCAATGTTGTTTTAAGATTTCTACCCTCAGTCTTTTTTTTCTTTAATATATTTTTTTAATTGATTTCAGAGAGGAAGGGAGAGGGAGAGATAGAAACATCAATGATGACAGAGAATCACTTATTGGCTACCTCCTGTAACCACCTACTGGGGATCAATCCCGAAACCCAGGCATGTGCCCTGATCAGGAATTGAACTGCAACCTCCAGGTTCATGGGTTGACGCTTAACCAACTGAGACATACCTGCTGGGCTACCCTCAGTTTGTTTAAATAAGTCTACACAGTTCTCATCCAAGTTTAATTTAGAAAAGAACTTTTTTTCTGATTCTATGATAATTATGTTTTAATTTTCTTTTTGCCTTTCATCAGAATCTTTCTTTTTTCTTTTGTTGCTCTCAGAAAAATCAAATCTTATTTTTATCCGTATTCTTACATCGTTTCTCCTCAGTTTTCTTTTCCTCTTCTTGAACTTTTTCTTGGGTCTTTTCTTCCTGGAGCCGCTTTTGTTTTTCTTCTTCCTCCTTTCTAAGATTTTCTCTCCATAAGTTTTCTTTTCCTTGCTTTGCTTTCCTTCACATAAAAGAGAAAGAGTTTGCAAAATGTCCTAATTTTTTAAAAACAAAATAAAAACAAAATAGATCGTGCTCTTGACAAACTGAAGAAATATTACATCTATTTAGATGTAAGATAATATATACTTAAGTATCTATATCTATAAAAGCCTAAGCGACCATTACAACTGAAACGACCGGTCGACCAGCCACTATGATGTGCACTGACCACCAGGGGGCAGACAATCAACACAGGAGCTGCCCCCTGGTGGTCAGTGAGCTCCCACAGCTAACCTCCCACAGTCCCTCCCCGCATCCTGCAGGCCCCAGCTGGCCCGGCCCCGACTGGGACTAGGCAAGGCGCCCTGATAGACCCTGATTGCCGGCCAGGCCTAGTGACCCCACCCGTGCATGAATTTCTTGCACTGGGCCTCTAGTACTCTTATACAGTAATTATATATTTGTTATAGCAAAGAGATATGAGTAGCTATATCTATTTTTTTTTGTCAGATGGGCAAAAAATATTTTTTGGTGTGCTACAGAATTTTAGTATTTAGTTTATATGTGCCATGAGATGAAAAGCTGAAAATCACTGCTCTAAGTGAATGGTTCTATGTTTCAGACACCACACTGTCCTACTTTTCTTTGCTATAAATGAAGGCACCTGATAAATCTAAGTAGTACAAAGGGAACTGCACAACATGAAATTCTACACTCAGTCTTATCACTCTACAAAACTAAGTATTTTTTTTTTTCATCTTTCAGGTCTGATTCCAAAGCCCATATTTTTCACTAATGAAACACAAAATTGGTTACTTTAAATTTAGTTCCTAAAAGAAGAACTGAATTCCTAAAATTTAGAATTTAACTAGTATTTTAGGACAATCCTTTTATTTATCCTTTATTCCCCTTCCATTTTTGTAGTCAAACTAGAGGTATAGATAACAAAATTAGAATTCTTAGATTAATATCTTAAATAATAAAAGGTTAATATGCAAATCAACTGAATGGTGGAACGACTGGTCACTATGATGCGCACTGACCACCAGGGAGCAGATGCTCAACACAGGAGCTGGGCTCACGGGCTCACGGCTCGCCACAGCGGCAGTGGCAGGAGCCTCTCCCGCCTCTGCGGCAGCACTAAGGATGTCCGGGGAGCGGGCCTAAGCCATCAGCTGGACATCCCCCGGGAGCTCCTGGACTGTGAGAGGGCGCAGGCCAGGCTGAGGAACGTGCCTCCCCCCAGCTCCAGTGCCTGAATCTCATGCTCTTGGCCTCTAGTAGTATAATGACTTTATCAGCTATATTACCTTACAGCCTCATCTTCTTGTTTCTTTTTTTGTATTAACTCTGACCTTTTTCTTTCTATTTCCTTTAACTTGTTATGTTTGATCTTATGAAGCTGTTCAAGAGCTAACTGCTGTGTATTGTAGCTTTTTCTCAGTTCCTAAGGAGAAAAGAAAATAAGTCAATTAGGCCACTGATTTAAATATTTTTTTATATAATGAGTCATTTTCATTAAAAGACAAAAATCTTAAAGCAAGATAAACTAAAGTAAAAATATTAACAGTTTAAAAACATCTAAATGATTAAAAACATAACTGAATACAATATATATTTAAGCCATGTAGCCACTGAGGACAAATACCTACTTTTGTATTAATTCATTTCTAAGGAACACAGAATCTTTACAAACCAATTCTTTGATTTGATAATTCATTTTAATATAAAAGCAATGCATTAAAACTTCTTAAAACAATGTGCTTGTTATAACATCTTAAGAGGAATTTCATTCAGCCAATTTTTTACATAGTAGTCTAATCGAGTATATCTAGTACATAGCTTATTTAAGTTTTTACTCAAAATCCAAAGGACTACTGTTCCTGATCTCCAAATTAGTTATCCTACTGTCACCCGTATAAATTAAAATCTCACCTTGCCTTTACTCCAGAACCTTGGGAGCACAGGTTAAGAAGAACCTAACCCACTAAAGATTCTACTGACAGGTCTTTCCCTCTAAGGAAAAGTACCCCCCAATCATTATCCAAAGTCAACAGTGGTGACTTTCCAACACACTAAAGATATTTTGAAGATTCATGATAGTCCTTTCCCTAATAAGAACAACAAAATATGTGGACAGCACATATATGTGCCCTCATTGAATCCTCATAAGACTCTGCAAAGAAGGAAGAGCCGATATTGTCAGCCTACTTTTATAGAAAAAGAAAGCAAAGTTTGGAGATTAAATGACAAATAGTTACACAACTAGCAAATGACATGGATGAGACCAGAACTAATTTCTTTAGATTCCTAGGCCAGTACTTTTCTCATTGTTCCTCACTGCTAAAGATAAAATATTGTGTGAATTTCCTTAATGGAATAATGGCCTATCAAATGTCTCATCTTTTGGCTTTGCTATATGTCTTAGTGTGATTTGAGCAAAGGAGTAAAAATTATCATTGATCTTCTATATGTCTATTACAGAATCCAATAAAATAATTTCTTAAGATACTTTACTTATTTATTTACTAGAGGCCCGGTGCACAGATTCGTGCACTGGTGGGGTGGACCCTTAGCATAGCCTGTGGGGATCGGACCGGAAACTGGCAGTCCAACACCACCTGCCACTCCTGCCTGCTGCTCCTGCTCATCCCGGCCCCGCAGCACCTGCCACCACCACGGCTTGACAGGCTCACTGCTGCTCCACTGCGGTCTAGGGCTGCAGTGGCCAGCTGTGAGCCCTGCGTCTAACACCCATCAGTTAGCTGAGTGGCACTCCCACTGTGGGAGCGCACTGACCACCAGGGGGAGCTCTTGCGTTGACCGTCTGCCCCCTGGTGGTCAGTGTGTGTCATGGCAACTGGTTGATCAGTCACTTAGGCTTCTATATATATAGATTTATTTTCCTCACCAAAGGATATTTTTTTCCATTGATTTTTAGAGAGAGATGAAGGGAGAAGGAGAGACAGAGAAAAAGACGGATATGAGAGAAACATATCGATTGGTTGACTCTCGCATGCCTGGGAGCCTGCAACTGAGGTACGTGCCCTTAACCAGAATTGAACCCGGGACCCTTCAGTTTGCAGGCCATCGCTCTATCCACTGCGCAAAACTGGCTAGGGCTTTAAAGATACTTTTAATATTACTCATATTTCACCATAAATATCCTAAAGGAGTGATCAGATGCTCTACTATCCCGAAGGGTCATAGAGCTATAACTAAGTGTCTATCTTCTTTCAAGACCATTGGGACCAATTCCATCTCACCTGCCAACTAACCTTGTCATTCTTTACTACCTGAATTCTCTGCTTTTAATGCTGCTTTCCCCTTGATCTGACCCAATCCCCCAACCTTCCTCTCCTCAGACCCCTTCAATGCCCTAGAACTTCCTCTTAGTGGTCAGGACACTCCCACAAGCCACAGATCTTCTCTGAATGGAAAGTCCCTTACCTCCTTGCCTTTCTGGCTGATCCCTTAGGATAATGCCTTTCTTCTAGTTCTTTCTCAGTTGATTATCACATATTCCATAAAATTAGGGCCAGGTGGTGACTTTAGTATTTTTCCTTGCTCTTTGTTGTCACTTACAGAATATTATTTCTCCTCACTCTTACAAACTATATTTTTCTGAGGCTTGTACCATCTAGCAATACCACCCTCCCCTTCCTCTTATTGTTAGGTATTGATCACCTGGTCACTGATCCACAATGACTCATCTTTACCATTCTCCAAGTCTTTGACATCTGCATAGATGACCAAATCAAAACCTCAACTCTCAGGTTGATCTCCTCAACAATGATCTTTTACTCCATCTAATCCACTATTGACATTATAACCTACATCTTGTCAACATCAGAAACAGAACTACCATTGATCAAATATCCCATTCTTCAAACAACTTCTTATTCTCTGAGCTTTTCTTATACCTGGTGCACCATTTCAACAGTTCCCAAACTCATTTAGACCTCCATTCTGTTGCCCACATCGTGCTCTCTTTTTCTCATCACCACCTCTACTTCTCCTCACATCCATTCATGTCCAGTCCATATTTCAGAGCTCTTTATAGTAATTACTGTGTCACAGGGTTGTAACCCCCGTCCCTTCCTCTTTGGCCATTTCTATTAAAACCTCAAACTGTGCCGAAACCGGTTTGGCTCAGTGGATAGAGCGTCGGCCTACGGGCTGAAAGGTCCGAGGTTCGATTCCGGTCAAGGGCATGTACCTTGGTTGTGGGCACATCCCTCTCATCGATGTTTCTAACTCTCTATCTCTTTCACTTCCTCTCTGTAAAAAATCAATAAAATATATTTAAAAACAAACTTCAAACCTGCATAAACCTAAGAACTTATTTCATCAGCCTTCTCAGTGCTTACACCCAAGCAGTTGAAATTGATGGAGAAAAATGATACAATTAGACATGCTGTTTTCAATTTAAATTTACGATCACCAACTTCAAACAGGCATTCAACATTGCTCAGCACACCTACTGTTTTCCTCTACTAAGCTTGCACCCTCCACTCCAGAGATGTCTACTTCTCTGCCCTGAAACTTCCTAATCTTCCTTCCATCCATTCTCTGCAAGACCAGCTAGTAAGCTTGCCTCATTAAGCCATCAGACTACAACTCCCTCTTCTTTCCATTTCAAAATCAATAAAACTTCCTGCATCTGCACCCATCTTCTTCTAGTCTGAGTTACTACATGTTCTCAATTGCCCAGGAAGATTCCTTATAATAGTCCAACTTACTTCTAATTTTAAGTCTTGAAGCTGTCAACTTCCTATTCTCCACCAACAAATCTAACTTCACACCCATCTTTTTTCCCATGTGATTTTTTATTTGATTTGTACTTCTCTTTTATTTATTGTCTCAAGGTTTACATATGTCTCCTTTTTGCCCGCTTGACCCCCCCACACCCAGCCATTCCCACCCCGGGCAAGCTCTCACCGCCCCAGTGTTGTGTGTGTCCATTGGTTATGCTAATATGCATATATACAAGTCCTTCGGTTGCTCTCTAACCTCCCCTCCCACTCCTGCCGTTTGTCTCTGGATCTATTCTTGTTCATCAAATTATGTTGATCATTATATCCCACATAAGAGTGAGATCATGTGATACTTATCTTTCTCCAACTGGCTTATTTCGCTTAGCATAATGCTCTCCAGTTCCATCCAAGCTGTTGCAAATGGTAAAAGTTCCTTCTTTTTTATAGCGGCATAGTATTTCATTGTGTAGAAGTACCATAGTTTTTAAATACACTCATCTGCTGATGGGCACTTAGGCTGTTTCCAAATCTTAGCTATGGTGAATTGTGCTGCTATGAACATAGGGGTGCATATATCCTTTCTGATTGGTGTTTCTGGTTTCTTGGGATATAGTCCTAGAAATGGGATCACTGGGTCAAATGGGAGTTTCATTTTTAGTTCTTTGAGGAGACTCATACTGTCTTCCACAGTGGCTGCACCAGTCTGCATTCCCCCCAGCAGTGCACAAGGGTTCCTTTTTCTCCACATCCTCGCCAGCACTTGTCGTTTGTTGATGATAGCCAGTCTGACAGGTGTGAGATGGTACCTCATTGTTGTTTTGATTTGCACCTCTTGGATGATTAGTGACTTTTAGCATGTTTTCATATGTCTCTCGGCCTTTTGTATGCCCTCTTTCGAAAAGTGTCTACTTAGGTCCTTTGCCCATTTTTTGTTTGGATCGTTTATCTTCCTTTTGTTAAATTGCATCCCCCATGTGTTATACTGGAAGTATTCTTTTTATTTAATCCTTTAAATTCTGGATTATCTTAATCTGCTTCCCTAGGGACTTTATCAACTGCCATTTTATATACTCAATGTCACTCAATCTCTCTCTTTCCTCCTTCCTCCCTTCCTTTCTTTAAAAACATATATTTTTATTGATTTCAGAAAGAAAGGAAGAGAGAGATAGAAACATCAATGATGAAAGAGAATCATTGATTGGCTGCCTCCTGCACGCCCTTCTGGGGAATTGAGTCTGCAACCCGCGTATGTGCCCTGACCGGGAATTGAACTTTGACCTTCTGGTTCATGGGTCAATGCTCAACCACTGAGCTACTCTGGCTGGGTCCTTCCTCTCTCATTATCATCTCCTTCAAATCTTTCTTTCTCCATTCCTTTTGCATTTAAAAAATAGCCTTTACTTAAAAGAATAAATTACATGGAGTCAGAAGTGTTCCTAAAATGTGAAATACTAGTACATGGTTCTCTGCTGTTTTTTGACTAATTTCATTGTGCTTTTCTTCCTCATAAACTCTACATAGTAACCCTAAATGCTGCATATTTCTGACTGAGAACATTTAAAACCATTCATTCATTCAACATGTACTTATTGCCACCCACAATCTTCCATGTACTAGGTGCTGGTAATTTGATGATGAAATTAGTCAATCATCATTAAGACATTGAGTTGGATATGGTTGCCTAACCACCATGTCCATCCTTTTGTCTTATCCCTTTACTATGTAGCCATATGCCTCACAGAAAGCTGATAAAACCTCCAAGGCTGGTCCTAATTTTTCTTTTTTCACCCCCAGCTTTACTGAGGTATAACCGACAAAAATTTATATATTTTATACACTGTGAAATGATCACCACAATCAATCTCATTAAAAGAGCAATCTCCTCACATACATAGTTCTCTCTCTCTCCTCAGTGTTAAGAACTTTCAGATCTATCCTCTTAGGAAATTTCAATGAAACAAAACAGTATTGTTAACTACAGTCACCCTGCTATACATTAGATCCCAGAACTTACTCATCTTACATAACCAAACTTTGTACCCTTTATCCTTCAAGTCTTTCTTCCAAAGACCAAAATTTTCCTTTGACCTCATGCTCTGTTCACTCTCCTCTTAAAAGTTGCTCACATTCAACCCTTCCTCAACTCCCACTCCTGATCTGTTGCAATCCTGCTTCTGCTAGTCACTCAACTGAAATGGCACTTTCAGAAAGATCTTCAAAGGTCTCCTTGTTGACAATTCCATGGGTCTTTTTCATCACTATGTTAACTGATTGCTCTGTATCACTTCACCATGACGATTACAGAGGGACTCTATTCTTGCTTTCTGTGACACCACGGCCAGTCTCCTGACCACTCTGACAGTATAGGTCTCATCCCCTTTGAGCTTTCTAATTGCCCCTGGTGCAAGTTTGAATAAGCAGTGAAAGGCTAGAAGGCAGGAAGCAGAACAAAAAAAGCAAAACAAGAGGTAAGAATAATCTGCTGGCCTGTGGAGAATCAAATGTTATGTGAAAGAATGATAATCCACAAGTCATCATTAAACCCATTTTACAGACAAAGATATTTAAGTTTAAATTTTTGTGTAATTTGTAGCAAAAGTTCTAAAATCAGATAATTTGGCCATTTTGCTATAACCACAAAGGAAAAGCTGATGCTGTCATTCCAATTTGCCCTATTTTTGCTTAGGTAACAAATGAGCTCTATTTATCACATCCCTGTCTTGGCTGTGCATATGCAAACTACTGCCTACAGCCATCCATTTTAGTCCCCGGTTCAATGCAGTCAAAATCTACTATGGTTAGCACATGGTACAGTTGAAGCACCTTTCTTTTAAACTACAGTAAGTCCTCACTTAACATCGTCAATAGGTTCTTCAACTTTTAAGTGAAACAACGTATAGAAAAACCAATTTTACCATAGGCTAATTGTTATAAACAAGAGTTAAGTTTCTATGGTATCTCATCAATGTTATAACAAAACGACATTGAATAAAACATTATTTGAGGACATGCTGTATATTAAAACAGGAATTCACTGAGTATTTTAAATACCCATATGCTATATATGACAAAGTGAGCTCTTTATACATGTGATTTAAACATTTTTATCTTAAGTGCAAGCATGTCTAAACATGAAACCTGGTAACTGGATGTAACTAAAGCTGCCCCTGCATTATAGGTTAAAATCATTCCATAAAGTGGTATTAGAAAGCAGCCACCCATTATATGTATGATATAACCTAGTCCTAAATTTCAGAAAGTAGAAGTTTTATTTTAAACAGTTATTTTCAGTGATATGGGTAAATGACTTAATCTCGCACTCCTTTAGCTTTCCTTTTAATTCAATCAGTGATCATCCAATCAGCTAACCCAGCTCACGGGATGATGTAAGGGAATCCAGTGATATTTCCAAGTGTCTGGGCTCCTTATGAGAAAGGCAATCATATTGATTTCTGGCATTAGACTCAAACAGGCAGTTAGATAGCAGAAGGATATTCAAGCAAGCAGGAAGAAAAAGGGTCTATATAGTACATGTTATTTCAAACAAAGATATTCAGATAAATGCAAAAAATAGTCTAGTTAAAAAAAAAACAAACAGTAAAGTAACTCAAAGCAAGGGAGCTAGATATTAGAAAATAACCTTAAGTAAGAGGAAGAGGTTGTTGAGACAGCTGAGCAGAGACAAAAGGCACTGAAGAATAGAGTCATCCATACTCCCACACTGCAAGATAAGGCAGATAAAAAGCCAATTAAACTATGCACAGATTAAAAAAATAATGTAGGGAAGTTAACTTGGCTGGCTTGTCTGTACAACAATGACGAATTATTTGGTTAAATATTTTTTCTAAATATATACGTGTGTGAAATGTATTATTAATACACACCTCAAATTTCTCTTCCTTAACTGAACCCACATCACCTCTTTTCTCTATTTGTTTATTCTAGAGTTTGTGTCATGTTATTCTAAATAGTCAGCAAGATACAAGTCACATAGCTGCCTGAAAGCTATGTAATACTTTATGCTCTGAAAACTTTATGCTCAGTTAGAAAAGGAAACCTTTATGCTCAGTTAGAAAGGAATAACTCCCACATTTGAATGATGTGCCATCAGTCTGGTTTTTAGCTTTTCATATCTTCTTTCATAGGAATAGTTTTAGTATACAACTAATTTTTCACAGAATGATAGGCATACAATATATAATTTGGACTTCTGCTCTGCACTGCAGCAAATAATGAATCATGAACTTATTTTCATGCAAAGTTTATAGTGCCAGAGTATGCTTTAGATTTCACTGATTATTATATTATTTCACAAAGGTTAAGTAAATTAAATTGTAACAAAGAAACAAGAAAAGAATTTAGTGTGTTAGAAGAGCTTCTACCAGGACTATTATAAATTTTCCATATTCCCGATTTTAGAATTTTGCCCAAGATCATGCTGGCTGAGATCCATTCTTTGATACTGACAAAGGCAATTCTTAAAATGTGTAAATGCCCAATAAAAACAGTCATCAAAAACTGAAAACTATAGTAAATGATGGTTAGTTACATGACACAATGTTTACATCTACAAAGAACATGTAAAACAATCTTGCAATTCTAGTACAGCTCAAATTATAAAATAAATTATGAAAATGTACTACCTATAAAAATAATTTCACATATTCATTCTATTAGATCAAAATAAGGAAGGCAAGAAGGCAGCTAACTAAAAATGAATGTAATAGAATATAATAAATACCTTTAGTTGACTATTAAATGAATCCATTTCTGATAGCTTAGATGCAGTTTCTTTTTCCAGTGCATCTAACTGTTCTTTAAGTCTTTGGCATAATTCTTCCTTTTCTAATGATTTTTTATGAAGTAGACTCATTCCTAAATCTGAAATACAGAATCAGACAGTTTACATTTGGTAGAAATTCCTATTTCTTTACAAGTAATTGGCATTTGCTGTCTGGTCAAATTGGTCTAACTAGAGAAAGACAAAGAATGTACATGTATAATGTGGATCAGCTGAAGAGATAAAAACTCAGTGGTCATTAGCCCCTTTCAAATCAGATCCTGGGAAGCTCTTCATATAGAAATGTGTAAGAAGTGGTTCTGTACTCAAACAGTATAGGACTTGAAGTGGTGCTCCACTTGGGGTAAGGCTTTTCACTAACCTGATCCTCAGGCTCTCTTTCTATACAATGGGCATCATATCTCTGATCTCATTTATGAGGTGATGGATATAAAGCCATTAGTATAGAGTCTGGCCCACAGTAAATACTCAATTAACAGCAGCTACTGTCAAAGTAGCTTTCTATATATTCTTCGTGCTTCCACGAACAGGGGAATATTCATAGCAAGGACTCAATTAATATTACAAACTGGATTATTTAGTAATGTTCCCAAGGAAGTAAGAACAGAGGGCTTCCTTTTAGATAACCTTTCTTACAGAGTCAGGCAGGGATAGAGAAATTAGATAGAAATATATAATGCAACCCTAGCCGGTTTGGCTCAGTGGATAGAGTGTCAGCCTGGGAACTGAAAGGTCCCAGGTTTGATTCCAGTCAAGGGCACATGCCCGGGTTGTGGGCTCGATCCCCAGTGGGGGACTTGCAGGAGGCAGCCGATCCATGATTCTCTCTCATCATGGATGTTTCTATCTCTCTCTCCCTCTTCCTTCCTCTCTGAAATCAATAAAAATGTATTTTTTTAAAAAAGAAATATATAATGCAGATTACATTACAATAAATTAAAATAGCAATCTTACTATCTATTTACATACATATTTAAACTATTATATTTTTAAAGTATAAACATCTAGTATAAAACTATAAAATATTTTTAAAAGCTAGTGTAAAATAAAGCACTTTCAGAAAGGCACTTTACTCTTTTACATTAAAGAGTAAAAAAACTCCCCTTTATCTCAACTCCCAGCTTATTCCCCTCTTAGGATTTACATTTAGATATGTGCATAATCAATATTTATTTCCAAAGGATTTTAATGGGCTCATATTGTCTACATTGCTCAACAATTTGCTTTAAATTTAGTAAACATCTCCTACAAAACAGTTCTTTACAATTCATGCAGGAATATGGCCAAAATGTACAGTCTTGTGTTAGTTAGAGCCAAACCTAGATCTTGTTTAATTGTATTCTGGCATTTTATTTGATTAATATTTGAAATATGTAAATAAAAATCTTATCAAGATAAGAAGACATACCACAATTATTACTTATTTTTATTAATATAATGTTCTAACATCTGTGATATTTTTCACATTAATCTGAAATTTTTAACTGCAGACAAAAAATGTTATTTATAACAGAATAATGCTATCTTAAAAAGTAACAGAATATACTGATACAGTCAGTCATTCAGAAAAGAATAAAAGGCAAAACAAACCTTAGAGACTTACCAGGTGTGTTACCAAGCTGTATGTTTTTAATTCTTTCATTTAATAATTGCTTCTCAGGTACCAAATAGATAAGCTTATTTTGATATTCCTTATAAAAAGAAAAAGTAGTGCTTGATTAAAACTGTAAGCCTATACTTTTTTTTGCAAACTTCAAAACATGATTTGATCACTCTTAAAACTTAGCATAGGAATAATATGTAGCTGTAAACTGCTCACAAATTATGAATAAACTAGAATGGAGTACACATGACTGAAAATACAATTATTTAGTCCCCGTCGGTTTTGTTCAGCAGATAGAACATCAGCCCTCAGACTGAAGGGCTGAGGGTTCGATTCCAGTCACCGTACTTTGGTTGCAGGCTCGCGTGTGAGAGGCAATCAATCGAGCAAACAATCGATGTGTTTCCTTCTCTCTGTCTCTCCCCCTCCCTTCCATTTTCTCTGAAAATCATTGGAGAAAATATCCTCAGGTGAGGATTAACAAATAAACAAACAAAAAATACAAATGTTTAAACATAAATCCATTTATGAATGGCTGGCTGAAATTAAAAGGTGTGAAGAAAGCCATTGTTAATGGGGTACAACTGGAGCCTTAAACTTTTCAGCACAATGATGGATGGCAGTGGGCCCAGGCGAAGAGGTGCCTTTGGTATCTGCTACGTGGTATGTGTAAGAAGGCCATGACACTCCAGAATAAATAAGTGTATATCAAAGAGGGACTAATAACTCAGGGATAACTAAGGAAGCAGGTTTAAATCAGATGAGAAATGTTATTGAATCTTTGCCTATATCCACGGTGACAAAGTGAAAAAAACAGCTGATTAATTGCTAGTCCATATAGAAAGGGAAATTTGCTAAGAGGACTCTAGAGATCCAGAATGCTTTCAGAGTCCCTATTCTGCAAACTATGGCAAATGAACTAGATCCTAATGCACAAGTACAGGATAGAATTACCAAGTCCCTGAAGGACATAGTCAACATTCTTCCACAATTCTGAAAAGAATAATGTTAAGTCAAAACTTCCTAAAGTAGTAGCAATAACCTTAATTTAAGATATATAAACTTAAAACACAAAATGATAAATGTCCATTTATGTATAGATATTAAGCAGACCTTAACCAGATGTCTACCAGAGTTTTAGGTGGTCACTGAACTTCCTGATATTATACAAAAGATTGTGTATATTCACCTCCTTCTGGGAAGGTGGTCTATCAGAGACTTGAAGGGGTTCTTGATACCAAAATTCAAAACCACGCTACTAGGAAGAATTATTAATTACGGTTCATGCGTAAGGACAATTCAGCAGCAAAGGACTTACCTGAAGTTCTTGCTGGAGCTGCTTGATTTCCATAATTTCCAGGTCACATTGCTTATCCAGAACTTCCAGCTCAGTCTTCTGAGTTTGTTTTCTGAGTCGGACATCTTGAAGTCTGCCTGAGATCTGCTGATGTTTGCCATTCTACAGGAAGTGCACACAAATATAAGACAACATAAAATGCTAATAGAAAATGTTATCAGGAAAATATTCTACTTAAATTTTTAGATGTCATTTATACTCAGTCTAAGATATATGTTTAAAACCAAGTGGAGTATGTATTTGAGTTCTATCTTTTGACTCAAGAGAACTGTTAGCAGGAAATGCACCATTTTCAGAGTGCAAGAGCCCATATATTAGGATGAGAAAGTACAAACATAACACACTAAGCTTCTTCTGAGTTCAGCATTGAGGCACTAATTTATAATATTAAAATAGAGACAAGCTTAAAGAATAACAAGGAATAAATTTTGCATGCAGCATTAGCATTGCCTTCTTTGAGCTTATTTCTAACCTCATTGCTGCCATCTAATGTCCTCTAATCAGACAATGTCCAGGAGGGCCTTTCTGGCTACAATTCTCTTCCTATAACAATATTCCTCTCCCCGTTCTTTCTGAGAAGCAGAAAAGAAGTAGAGAGCAAAGATTTCCAATGGAAGCTAAGAAGAGGGTTGAGGTGTTATGGGCTGAACTGTGTCTACCCCAATTCATGTTATAGCCTAACCCCCAGTACCCCAGAATGTGACTGTATTTGGAGAAAGGGACTTTAGAGAGGCAATTAAGGGTTAAGTGAGGTCATATGAGTGGGCTAAGACCATCTGATTGGTGTCCTTATAAGAAGAGAAAATTTGGACACAAAAGAGATACCAGAAATGCAGAAGCAGAGGAAAGACCATCTGCGGACTCAGTAAGAAGGCGGTTATCTGCAAGTAGAGAGGCCTCTAAGGAAACCAAACCTGCTAATACCTTCATTTTAGACCTATAGCCTCAAGAATGGTGAGAAAATAAATTTGTTATTTAAGCCACTGGTTTGTGGTATTTTGTTATGACAGCCTTAGCAAACTAATACAGTAGGTGGAAAAAGATCATGAATAATCAAAATTTCCTATTTGAGAAGTATACACGAAAGATACACATGCTGTGTTCATCCTAGAGCTTATGTTATCTTCAGCATGTGTAAGCATAGGTTCTGGATCTTTTCAGACTCTACACAATAATCTATACTACTGTTCGGTGTGTTACCCAGTTCTTGAGGAAAAAATCATCAATCTTAGGATAGTCTCCCATTATATTTTAAAGGAAAAATATATAGTCAAGATGATGGTTTAGACATAGATACATAGAGAAACTGAAGTTTTTTAGGCCTGTTTTGTAGTACTATGGCATGATTAATAATTGTGGTATTCAAATGTGGTATTAAGGTATTACATTAATCAATAAAGAAAAAAATAAAAAAAAGTTATTGTGGTATGCTTTCCTACACATTTGAAGGCTTAATATAGTACCTTTATAACTAAAAACATTGTGATAATTTAAAAAATCTACTTCAAGTTACCCACCAAATAAATAAATTAAGATCTAAATTTGGCTCTACCACATGGTTACAATGCATTTTTGCAATACCTTACTACACCATTAGATCAGACTTCTGTGATTCTAGGATCTAGTAGAATAGTATGCCTTACCCAGATCCTTTATAGTTTTTCACTCTGCATTTCAAAGTCTTTTAATAACCTGACCCTCTGACATCTGATGTGTAAAATATAGTAAGTATAATGGCTAATATTAGCTAATAACTATAGTCTTACAGAACTAAAAGGAATTGTAATAGATCACTTACGTCAGCAGTTTCTAATCATTTTTTATTTTTAGCAGTAGAATCATTTTTTCCAAGCAAATCTTAGATAAAATGCCACTAAAAGTAAGACAGACAAATGTGGAGCTTCCCTACTGTGAAGGTGGGAAGAACTGGGAAGGGCGAGCACTGCCCTGGCTCCATGGCTCCCCACTCCCACCGCCTGGCTATCCCTTTGTAGGCCGCCTTCCACAGACCATGACTGAGCCGGCACCACTTTCTTTTATTTTATAGAAGGGCAAAGTAAGGCACAGAGAAGGGAAATGTCCTGCCCAAGAGTACACGGTTTGCCAGCATTTAAACTGAGACCACACATAATTCTCAGCACTTTGATCCAGTTACCCCTTTTTAGGAAACTATACTGTCCAGTTAAAAAGCACATAGGAAAACATAACTGTTTAATTGCATTAAAACATGATGTAGTCATGAGATGGATTTTTAAAACAATGACATTACTCAACAGGTAACTCGAGCATCATTCAGATAAATTTCATTTAAACTTTAGCCATACCAGTGCTTCCAACTCGAGATGAAGACTCTTCTTTTTAGAGTTTAACCTCACAATTTCTTCCTGCTCTCTGTTCCTCTGATTGAGGAGCTCCTGTCTGCGAATTCTCTCCCACTCTAAACGACGTTGTCTTTCAAGTTCCTGTTTTGCAGCCTGAGAATAATGAATTAAAGTTAATTTCTCCATAAACAATTTTGCATCATTCAAACACCGATGAGATGACAAAAGTGAGGCAGGAATTGAGTGCCTATGGGTAACTGGGCAGAACTTCCACAAAAATGACTGCATCCATCAGATTTATGGATTGACTCACAGGGAAGTTACTTTTCTTTTAATAAACAAAAGGATGATTTCGTAAAAAATATGTTCCTAGGAATAACTGCACCTTTTTCTGGTACCAGGGAAGAAAACAACTTCTATTCATATTATTTATAATTTACGGTGCTCCATCCCCAACCCTTTAAAACACAGCCTGTCCTCCTAGGAACCCCACACAACACTGTTTATCCCAAGGACCTGTGCAAGCCCAGCCTCTTGATTCCTCACTAGACCTCTGTCTCCCCACTCTCCTCTTTCTGCCTCTCCAATTCCTTGGCCTCTTAACTCTGGATCCTAAGCTTGTGTTCATTTGATGACCCGATCAAACTGACTTCTTCCCCTGGCTCACTAACCTTAGCTCCTCACTCTTCTCTGCAATCGGTTCTCCTTTGGGATGTCACCTGAAGACATGCTTTCTCTTACCATTTATTGGCCCTGAACACCCCTCACAGGCAAGATTCAGATTTGTATAAAGTAAGTATGAACGAGGATAAGCCACAATAAAACCAACCATTTTTTTAATTGAAGAAAATATAGTCACTTATTAAATGAAATTGCTTTCTTAGGAAATAAAATAACCTAAAAATAACCTCTCGTCTTTCTATCTCTTTTCTCCTTTCTTCCTCCCGTTGTCTCTCCAATTCCCTCTGCTTCTCCAAGCGTTTTTCTAATTCAAGTTGTTTCTTCCATTCTTGTTCTTGCAATTCTCTCTGTTTTCGTTCCCACTCTTCCTTTTCTTTCTGGGCTTTCCGCTCTGCCTCCCTCTGTTGCTGCTCCATCAGGGCTTGGCGTCGCTTCTCCAGTTCCATGTTCCCTCGCTCGTAGTTGGCTTTCCGCTTGTCCTCAAAAGTAACTAAATAAGGTACATTATAAGCATCCTCACACATGAAGAGCCTGCTTAACCTGCAATTCAGTTTCAACATACACATGCCTTGTGACCATTTGGCTATTACTCTTTGGATACTTCTCCTAGGGATAATTTTAACCCAAATGTAAATAGTAAACTATTTCTGCTCTAAGAATATTCATTTTTAGAAAAAAAAAAGATTTCTAAGTTTGAATCCACCCAAGAGAGAAATAATTTTAACTATTTCTGCCAATAAAAATACTTTTCAACTTTTTTCTCAACATTTCTTTAAGGACAACCAAAGTTGGATGGCTATATTTATTTTATTTGACATGTGCCATTAACTTATTAATATTTTTCAATATCTACATATGTACTTTTCAACTAATATTTAAACTATTTTTAAAAATTCAAGATTTCATTGCAAAATTTGCTCTAATGATTTCTCCTGAAGTGGGAGAAACACTTTAAGTATAATGCTAATTCTTGCCAAATACACACATTGTCTCTTCCTCCTACATACATACTCTCTTAATTTTGACAATCTTAATTTCATTGATGTCAAAATCCACCCCATTTATCAAATAGTTTCTTGTATAGCATATAAAATATTTAAAATATAAAAATTCTGAATATTCATTTGCATTTCATGGTAAAATTTAAGAGAACTCACTATAAATATACAACTTAGACACTCAATGTTACCTGGTAATTTTTTCTGAGGTTCCTCTTCTTGTATTTTCTGATATGAAGGCAGAGTTCCATTAATGGAATCAATTTGCTTTCCTCCTCTAAGAAAAGCAAACAACAAATAAATTTAGCGTCATGCAGTCGGAGAATTTTTAGACTAGATTATATAGATTACCTATGACCAGAGCAAATTAATATTTAGAACATTATATTAAAGATATTTAAAACACAGTATGGTCCGTAGTTATAATGAACAGCAGTGTATGGATTGTCAAGCCAGAGCGATCTGATCAAATCATGGGTCAGCCAATTGTTTTTTTGGGTAAATTTATTCTCTTTAGTCATCAGTTTTCTTATCGATAACAATGAAAACACAACTACTTCTAATATCTATTCCTTCTCAGTAATTCATTAAATTCCAAAATCAAATGTCAGTGTAAATGTTTAACTCTCCACTAAACTAGTGGAAATCCCAAAGTAGTACTCATGTCTGCCAAGTGATCAAAACCACCCCTCTTCACCTGAGGGGTGAAGGGCACTCACCTAAAAGATGGAGGGACCAGCTCAGGAGGTAAAGTCAGAGGCAAAGGCTGTCCAGCTTTGGCCATGTCAGTGAGGTGCATCGCAAGGATAAACTCTTCAGCTTTTAGTTGTCCATCCCCATCAATGTCAGCCAGACTCCTAAAGAAAATGTGAAAACTCACAAGTGAGAAAGTCTCAGTTTGAAATCAAATATTTTCAAAATAATTCAATTTTTTTATTTTTAAAACAATAATAATGATAGTGCTGGTCAGAGTGGTTCAATTGGTTGGGCATTGTTCCATGCATGGAAAGGTTGGCAGTTTGATTCCCAGTCAGAGCACATGCCTGGGTCGCGGGCTTGATCCCCTATAGGGGACATGCAGCAGGAGGTGGCCGATTGATGCTCTCACATCAATATTTCTCTCTCTCCCTCTCTCTTCCTCTCGCTCTAAAAATCAATTTTAAAATCTTTTAAAAAAAGAATTATAGTAAAATAGTTATAATAACATATTTTAGTAAAATGTAGAGATACAGAAAAGTGAGTTAATTTTTACCCTTAATTTCAAAACACTAAAGAGAGAAAAAACAACAACTTTTAAATAGAAAGAAAACTATTCCTTCTGAAAATGTGGACTGCCTTTTTTCATGGTTAATTCACCTAGCAAATCATTTTTTTTTGTTAATCCACACCTGAGGAAATTTCTTTCCATTGCTCTTTAGAGAGGGTGAGAATGAGAGGGAGAGAGAGAGAGAGAGAAACATCGATATGAGAGAGACACATTGATTAGTTGCCTCCTGCATGTGCCCCCACTGGGGGTGGGGAATGAACCTGCAACCCAGATTCGTGCCCTTGACCAGAAAATGAACTATTACTCTATGGTGTGCAGGCTGACCCTCTAACCACTGAGCAACACTGGCCAGGACTCAAATCACATTTAATTCTACATTAAAAATGAGATATTTTCTAATTCTCCATAAAAGGCATTATATAAGGCAAACTAGTTTTACTTATAAAATAATTAATTGCAAAGTTCTCATGAATATAACATTTTGCACAATTTTATTTGCTTTCAAGGTTGTGTTAACTTTCAAGCAGCTACTTTTACGGAACATCTTGGAGTCACAAACTTTTATAGAAACATTATCTTATAATAGAGGATGTATAGTTAAAAATCACAATTAATGGGCAAACTTACCAAATAGTAGCTAGCTGAGTTTGAGAAAGATTTGACTGAAGAAGGGCATTTCTAGCTTGAAAACCTGATTGAGTGGGAAAAACAAAAAATAAAATAAAAGAAAGTTCTTTAGCCTCTTTAAAGTCACACAAACCTAAATAGCTGTACCTGTAAAATAACACTGTTGCTATCCTGGGAACTTTTATCATAAAAATTTTTACCATGTGCCAGGCACTGAGCATTCAGTAGATATCAAAACAACACATTCCCTGTCCCCAAAGAATTTAAAATCAGAATTAGTGGAGCCAAATGCTCAGAAGTTAACCATACACAAGTGACTGGGATGCAGGATTGAGCCATCAGTATAGAAAGTACTTAGAGGCCAACTTCTAGTCTGGAGCCTCCTGGCACACCACTGCAACCAAAGCACTGCTTCCTTAGCCTTTTCAGATCTCTCCCTGCTGATCATTCCTTTGTCTCTACTCTTCCTCTTCTAAATGACTTGTAAATGTTGATACTCCCCAAAGATCTGTCCTGGACATTCTTTTCTGTGTATTCACATTCATTTCTATGACTGTAAATAGCACCTAGAGGCTAGTGATTCCCAAATGTACATTCCCAACCTAAACCTTCCTATAGCTGTTTTATCTGATCACATCAGTATTAATATATCCCATTCTATGTTCCCTAGCACTTTAAAGCTCTATTACTTTTAAACACTTATTTTGCTTGGCCTACATTGTACTTCACTGATGAGTGAAGAGAGGGGAAAGTCAGAAGGTGGGAAGTCTATTTGCCTATTACCCTCTGTTTATATCCCCTTCATTATTTTCAACTAGTAAAGTTTGGATGTCTGTTCTAGCATGCATTCAATATTCTATGGGGGTCTAAGGCCAGGTTTTATGGCTACCTTTGAGCACTAAAGGATAAGCAATGCTCATGTGCCTTTAGAAAGGGCAAGTAGAGAAAGATCCATGAGGACAGGGATTCGCAGGGAGTAGAGGCTAAGTCCCACACACTCCCTCTTGTCGTGTGAGCATCTCCACTCACTCCCTACTCTGGAGGATGAGCTTTGATCTTCTCACGGGTGAAGTCTTTTGCATGTACATCTGTGTGCTCGACTTCATTGTAAGAACTTTGAAGAAAACCATCAGCTTATATCCATTTTTGAATTTTTATACAACTTACATTATTTGCATATATCCAATGCCTGCCAAATTTTTTTGATGTTAAAATTTTAGATGAGCTATAAAGTACAAATTCAAAGTTCTTCAATAGAAGTCCACTTAAAAAAACTTTAACTCACATTCTTAAGCATTGTATGCCACTTACCTGAGAGGTATCCACTCATGCTTTTGTCAAGACTATTAAATTTTTGCCGATATTTTAATCTTGAAGGCTGAGGAACTGCCCACTCTGTGGTCCCAATCTTGGGCGAGTTCCCTGAGAGTGAAGCAGTTGAGGAAGTTGAGCTATAACAAAATTTATTTAAAAAATTTTATGTTACTAAATAAAATATATTTAGTTCAACCTTGTAAGGCAGATAGTAAGAATATCTTCTATAATACAACAGTAATTACTTTTGTATCTGATACTGAAAAAAATTCAAACAATTATCCTTGTTCTTAGGAAAGCAAATACCATATATCAAGAACCTACAATGTACCAGGCCCCATAATATGCTGGGGCCTTTACAAATATTACTTCTAATCCTCCTGACAAACTTAAAAGGCATTACTGTCCCAGCTTTTATATGGTTCAGTGATGTTAAGAAAAAAAAGGTTATTCATTCAGTGAGTAAGCTAGGATACAAAGATTCTTCTGGGTCACTGCTTTAAAGAGCATTATTGTGAGACAACTGGGTAAAGAAAATGTGGTCAATATATACAATGGAATATTACTAGGCCATAAAAAAGAGTGAAATCTTACAATTTGTGACAACATGGATGGACCCAGATGGTATTAGTCAAAGACAAATACCATATAATTTCACTTATATGTGGAATTTAAAAAACAAAGGAACAAATAAAAAAGAAAGAAACTTATAGATACAGAGAACAAATCAATGGTTGCCAGGTGGGGGCCTGGGTGAAAAAGGTGAAGGGATTAAGAAGTAAAAATGGCAGTTCAGAAATGGTCACAAGAATGTAAAGTACAGCATAGGGATACAGTCAATAATATTGTAATAGCTATGCATGGTGTCAGGGGGTGTTGGATTTTTTGGGGAGGATCACTTCATAAACTGTATAAATGTCTGGCTACTATGCTATACCCCTGAAGCTAATATAATACTGAATGTCTGCGTAATTGAAAAACTTTTTAATTTATAAAAAAAGGGTATTATTGTGATTTATAGAAGGGGTGAGGAATGAACATTAATGTTTTCTGAAATTAAAGAATACTCAAGCATAAGAATTTGCTCAAGAAAGAAATTAAGAATGTACAATGGTTATAAGATTTTTTAAAAGCATACTTTTTTTTAAAGGAAAAATATGTAGCTCTGGGCAAAAAATTTGACTGATTAAAAACATAGCAAAATATTTTTTGTTTACATGAAACATTTTTTCAAAGGTAAAATACCACAGGCATTTATAATTCTAAAAATAAAAACAATTATTTTATGTGAGTTATAAATAAGTAAATTTAACTTAATTGTTTACATTTGGCCATTATAAAGTAAAACCTGGATAAGTTCAGAGATTTAAAAAATAGTTATTTGTTAAATACTCCTTATTAAAACATAAAAAGTTGGAAGCTTAAGTATTCATACCTACTAGATCCTAAATCAATCAGAGACTGGGCTTTCTGTATACTAGCACCACCAAATCCTCCCATCATCATACTATAAGATGACGTATGAGGCAATGCTAAAAAGAAAAGAAAAGAAAAAATGAAAAAGGTTCACACTAAACAATATTACAAATTATGAAAGAAATTTGCCTCTATTGGAACATGAACAGTTTCTTTCTTCGTATGAACTACTGATTTATCAGACATAAAGCACTTACTTGCAGAAGAATAAGGAATGGATAAAGGCTGAATGAGACTGGCAGTTCCATTTGGTAAGGATGAAGTGCTAACAGAAGGCACCAAGGGAGCAGGCATCATTAAGGGAGGAAGGGTGGTCCCTGAAGTTGCAGGGGACAAAGCTGTTGCTATAGGAGCGACTGGAGGCAATGGCTGAGGAACGGACAGATTGGGCATGCTTCCCATTCCTAAAGGCAAAAAGAACATATTTTCTAGTGCTAGTAAATCAGTTATAAAACACATGCCAGAAAACAAGTTTATAGTGCAATGAGCAGACCCCATATTCACAGGAACACTGTGGGCAAACTAGTCTTAAAAATACACAAAAGCAGCTTTACCCCAGCAGTGAGGGAGGTTAACTACTGCTTTTAATATCAATCGTCTGACCTGTGTGAACTAAGAAAATGCCTACCAAGGAGTTAAAAATTCTCTTCCAGTATCATGACCAAATTAAGCAGCCTTTTCCAATTAAATATTAGTATCCTCAAAGAGAGGCTGTATCACCTGATCCAATGTGAGGATAATACAGTGCTACTGAATTGGGAAGGAGGTTAGAGACATTCTGTGAGCCCACACCCAGTTTAACCCTAATTCCCCAGACAAAACAGAACCTGGGAGGACTCATTTGTTTCTCCGCTCTGCAGCAATGACCCAGCTGACTCAGCACACAGCTATTTATTAATAAATGCTATGTGCAATTACTCGGTTTTATAAAAACTGCCCTGTCTTCCACCGCAGTTACACCATCACACACACACACACACAGAATTACACACACACACACACATACACACACACAGCCAAACTGCCCCCACCCAAAGGAACAAAGTGACAACTCTTATTCATTTACTAACTGAGGAATACTAAGTACATTATATAAATATAGTCACACAATGCTTTGGTATTTATCTCTAGAGTTCACTACAATAGTGAAAGAAGCTAGCTAGCATTTTAAGATCTAACATTTGGCGTAGAGGCACATGTTTCAGGTACACAGAGCTATCTAGTTAAATATTCCATTTCAATGAGTGGTTCTCACATATAATTAGTAACAAATTGGCTAATGAAAATGAACGGAAAACTGGTTATCTCTGATGAATATGTAAATTAATTAGCACAAAGTCTTCAACCTTTAGCCCTAAAATTAGCTGGCTAACCTTTAAATTAAAGGAATTTCTACTTATGTATAATTTTAAATTACGCCCTCCCAAATTAAACTATTTCAAGTGAGTTTAAAACTGTTCACATTTTTTCTGTTACTCATACAAAATATAGAGGAAACTTATTAAGAATAGTATTTAGGATCAGCTATAGCGAGGGGGATATTATAATTTAACATCCAACTTGAAATTATGAAAGGGCACACTAACCAGATGGAAGTCAGGAAAACAGACATAAATAACGACTGTCCTATGAAAACTGGGATACATGGACACCCTAGCTATGACAGCAATTTTCACTTTATTTTATTATTATCATTTTAAAAGTCAAACTTATTGAGGTGACATTGGTTAATAGGATCATATAGGCTTCAAGTATGGATTTCTATGTTACAAGAGCTGTATATTGCACTGTGTGCCCACAACCCAAAGTCAAAATCATCTGTATGGCAGCGAATTTAATATTTCTTATCTCAGACATGAAATTAACTTGGAGTCTGGGGATTGTCATTCTATACCAACAAATCCTTTTTTGATCACCAAATATTATGCCTAGGAATCGAGTTTAACTATCAAATGCAGCTAATTAAATTAATAAATACATACCAAAACGGGCAGAAATTAATGGAGAGAACATAGGAGGTTGTTTCATAATAGGAGGGAGAACCACAGGCAACTGCTGGCCTTGTAACTTTAGTTTGATGAGTTTCATGGCTATGGAGAACTCTTGCTGATCCATCTTCCCATCTTTGTTCAGGTCTGATAAAGCCCTAAAAGGACAATGAGGTGGGTAGATTGTACATAGTGTTAACATTACTTTTGAGGATGATAAAATAAAAACAATGATGTAGCATTCACACATCGATCATCAATTAAGTATGTGCATGCGTATCTCAAAAAGCGGGAACCTATACATTAAGAAATACTGACCAGAAATAGTATATAATAAAATACTGTTAGTCTATATAGAATCTAGAGACTTTTGAAATTAATTCCATCATGCAAATGGAAAAAAATTATTCAAGCGTATAATCCTTTTGTTCTAGCTGGGTGGCTTAATTGGGTGGAGCATCATACAGTACACCAAAAAGCTGCGGATTTGATATCTGGTCAGGGCACAAACCTAGGTTGTGGGTTCATTCCCCTGTGCATATAGGAGGCAATCAATCAATGTTTCTCTCTCACATCAATGTTTCTCTTTCTCTCTCCCCCTTCCTTTTCTCTAAAAATCAATAAAAACATATCTTTGGGTTAGAATTTTTTTAGAAAAGGATAATCCTTCTAAACTTATTCATTTGTTCAAATATTTATTGAATGCTTGCTATATGCCTGGTACTTGGCCAAGCTGGGAATATTGCAAGTGGAGAGAAAAATGGAGTAGAAATTGGTATTTTCTTTAAGTACATTAAAAAACAAATGTTATTATAGATATCATAAAGCATAATTTCTTTAAGGTAGGAACAGAAGAAAAGAGGAATAACTCTGGGTTTGTAGATAATGAAATAAATGAAACTACAAAATAACAGAAAGAAAATTTTGAGATTCTGTCAAATTATAAAGAAATGTTTTTCGATGAAAATGTATACATTTTCTTTCCTTAGAAATTCTAAGGAAATTAGAAATTTGTCCTATAGAATAAAACCCCAATTGATTTTCAATCATTTACTCAATCAAATGTATTTCTAACAAGCTGAAGAAATACTCTTACTTAATAACAGATTACAAGTAAAAACAATTTTATGTTAAACTGTATTAAAAACAAAACAAAACCAGACAATTGGAAATTTAAGATCATCTACAACAAAATTATTTTACCATATTTCAGCTAAAACAGGAGCCGGCAAGCCTGACTGCAAGAAAAATGTACGTGCTTGATCACCTGAAGGCAATAAAAACAAAAATCAAGCAGCATATTACTGGACGGAATTATTCCAATGCCTCTGAATAATATAATAATGGGCAACAATAATGTTATTGATTTATTATAATTTTAATTCCAATTACTAAAAAATTAAACAGAAATACATATATAAAATTATTATATTACTTTAATAAGACTTAGATGTTCTAAAAAAAGTCACTAGTTATATGATTAATCAGTGATAAACGATTACATTATTTATCTCAGTTTTTTCACAATAATTGAAGTCTTATTAGATATATTTCTATTTAATAAAATGTATAGTTTAAAACACCATTCCTTAGAAGAGTTCTAAATAGCTCTCCGTGGATCTTCTCACAATCCTATATATACAGCTGTGTATGCTAACAATGGGAAATCCTAACTACTCTCTACCTGGGTCATTTCTCAGAATTGGGTTTACAGTGAGCTATCTTGAAGGACGAGGTAATGTTTTCCTCTGGGACAAAGAATAAACTAGCTTACCACTTGCTAAAACATGGTGGGTTCCTCCACCTCAGTGTTCCTCTCCTACAACACAATCTCTGCATGTGTAGCATCCTTCTGGGATCTCTGCATGGTCTGTGTGTGACTCAGGGTACAAGGGAGGTTGACAGAAACATGCTAATGCTCATGTTAACAGCTGTGTCATTAGTAATAAAGTTTGTTGCTTTTGTTTTATATCTCACGGGTACTGGTAAGTGATATCACATAGTTCTTGTCCTTTTCTATCTGACTTGTTTCACGTAGCATGAAACTCTCGAGATCCACCCATGTTGTTGCAAATGGCAATATTTCATCTTGGTATAAATTTTACCATTTAATACAAACTTAACAGCAATCAAAACTATTTCTAAGATATGACATGAAAAGGAGCATAAGTCACAAATAAAATATAAACACAAACCTGTTATGTAACCTCCTGCGGGCTTGAGGTTATCAAACTGCTTGTCATGCTTAGTCCGTTCTTCAGAGGTAATAGCCCACATGTTTGGCCCTCCTAAAACATAAGTGGAAGACAAAGAAATTATACTGTATATATGAGAATGCTTAAAATACACAATTCTAAAATGTAAATATGAATCACAAATGCCCATTTAATGACAGTACTTAACACCCAAGTGACACAAAGAGTAAAGCTCTATCACAAACATATAGCACAGCCCCAAGGCTTTTCACTCGTTCATCCAGTTAACATCTATTGAACTATTACTGTACACCACTCACCGGAAACAGGCAACAAGATAAATACTGGAAATAAAAAGATGAATAAAATATTGTTACCATCCTCAAGGAACTCTTACTCTAGAAAACAACTTCCAGTATTTTCCAGGTTAAACTGTGAAGCATCCTTGGAATGGGTCAAGCTGAATTCCACAACTAACAAAGTGAGACGAACCCAAAAGCCTTGCTTGTCCAACAGAAATGATATAGTCGAGAACATAGACAGACTGGCCCAAGGGAACACAGAGATCTACGGTGAAAATTCAGGATTCTAGCCTGACCATTATTGGACATGATGCATCCCTCTTTCTAACAGCAACTGCAGGAAGGCCTGGCTGGTACATCCTCCAGCTTCAGGCAGCTCAGCTAAAATGGGATTTAGAGGATTCAAAGTTAATTCTGTTTAGGTGTATGAAAATATCCTTGACCTTCTTTCACCTAACCCTTCTGGATCACAGTGAAGTTATAGCCAAATGGAACACCTAGATTTTGTGGTGGCAGAGAGTAACAACCAGGAATCTGAGGGGGAAACACCTTCGACACGGAGAGGTTTGAGGGTAGAAGTGGCATTAATAACCTTTAACTTCCAGACTGGCCCTGGAGCCTGCTTCCCAAAGGTAAATGCTCTGCTGTGGTTCTCCTCAACTACTGGAGGCACCTTACATTTAACTGACTGCTGAGCCTGCCACCCCCAAGACAGCTCTGACTACCATTTGGTCCTGATCCACACTCAGTCTTAGGCAGGCCCTGTGTACCCGGACCCAAGGGGTGTGGCTTTCTAAGTTCTGGCCCCTCCATCCCATGGCATCCAAACTCCTCGCGTCTCCTCCTCCTTGGTCTTGGGAAGGACTTTCCTGCTTCTCCCCCAACAGCAGTAGGAACATTAACTCTACTTGGTACCAGTACAGACTCTGAGGTCCGAGAAGTTCCCTCCCCACCTCAGTGACAGAGCTTTTTCCTCTACCCTTACCCCAGCAATGTGTCTCTGCCTGTGACCTTGGGTAGGTCTTCGCTAACACCTTCCCCAGTGACCACAGTAGCTTAACACTTTGCTGAGACCTAACTGGTTTGGCTCAGTGGATACAGCGTCGGCCTGTGGACTGAAGGGTCCCGGGTTCAATTCCGGTCAAAGGCATGTACCTTGGTTGCGGGCACATCCCCAGTAGGGAGTGTGCAGGAGGCAGCTGATCGATGTTTCTCTCTCATCGATGTTTTTAACTATTCCTCTCGCTCTCTGTAAAAAAATCAATAAAATATATATTTTTTAAAAGACTTTGCTGAGTAGAAGAAAAGGATGCAGAAAATTGCATGGTATTTTGTGCCTGCCCCCCTACAGTTGCCTGCAATATTAGGTGGGGGTTCATTCTGGTCTCTTGCACCATCCCCAGTCTTTTTAGTTGATGCCCACAGGAAACAGCTGAGTAAGTATATACTCCCCTTGGGTCTGTGGGCCCCAGTTACTCCAGACTGACATGCTAGTCTTCACTTGTTGTTTGGTATTCATTAGAATCTTAACTGATTTCTGTAACATCATTTTATACATTTTACATTCCTCCACTTTACTTAGAGCACTGATTGTATCCTTAAAGTCTGAGATTGGATTCTGTAGAGAATGGTCCAACTCCATTGGTGGAGTATGGAAATCCTTTGATTTGCCATCAGTCCCATGGTCTACTCTGAACTCCAGCCCCCTTTACTCTAGAGCTTTGCTGAAAACATTAGTCCATTTACTTACCGGATGCAAATTTCCTATGCCTTTACACTTTGTATCATTTAATGGAAGTGTACCTATGCCTGTATTGAATCCAATCTAATCGGCTACATAATTTCTGGAAACTCTTCAAAGTTTCTGATACACTGGCTTTCCTATGTCCTAAAGCTACCTCAGATTAAAAACAAAATGTTTTCTTTGATAATTTAAATGGGATCCAGGAAAAAAGAAAATATGAATTTAAACCACTAATTTGAAACAAGACTTAGTGTTGTTATGAGTGAACACAACAACAAGAACAATGATGTAGCTACAGGAAAAAATGTGGTCAAGAAAATGAAGGGTCTAGAAATATCCTGTATAATAAAAGGCTAATATGAAAATTGCCCCCTCGACCAGGAGTTCAACTGGGAGTTCAGCCAGGGGGCAGGACCGCCCACGGCCCCTTCCTCTGGCCAGCCGGGCCCATCGCCCCAATAGGGGCAGGCCAGCAGGACCCCATCCGTGCACCAATTCATGCACTGGCCTCTAGTTTTTCTATAAGGCAGTTAAAAGACTAAAATATTAAGCCAGAGGAATCAAAGATTTAAAAAAGACATGGTAGCCACTTTAAGTATTTTTAAAAGCTGTTATGTAGAATACAGTGATTTGATATCCTATAGGAATTAGGAACAGGACAACCATGTTTGAGAAAGTTAGGGCTGTTACTGAAAAGGGATTCAACTCCTCGGAAAGTATTCTTTTGTTAGAGATGTTAAAACAGAAAATGGCTCATTAAATCTGAACATTTCTGAGGTTCTCTCAAACCACAGAAAACAAGCAAACAATGATTTTTGACAATCCTTTCCATTTGTTCTAAAAAAATAAGACCGATTCTTTCAACTTCTACTACTCCAAATACACCTTTGCCCTCTTCCTTTGTTAACAGCACAGGGGAGCATAAAGGACTAGGGTGGAGGGAGGTTCTGCCCTTATCTTAACGCTAACCAGTTTTGTGACTTAGACAGGTCTTCCATGAATCCTTACCTAGGACTGTTGTAAGAATGGTACATGTAGTCCCAGGCAATACTTGACTAGCCAGTGTCCTACGCCAGAGGTTTCCACCCCGAGCTGAATCACCTGGGGAGCTTTGGGGGCAGGGGGAAGCGATTCTAGCAGAACAATTAAATCAGAATCTCTGGGGGATGCGGTACAAGCTTCAGAATTTTAAAAAGCTCTCCAGGTGGTTCTTTTGTGTAGCCAGGGCTGCAAACGGCCTCCTCTTCTTTCCATCCCTCCACAGAATAGTCTGCTCCATCTTTACCTCCCAGCCAACTCTGGACACCTGGCCAACAGTGCTGTCAAAGTGAATGATATGGTCCAGTATCAGAAAATTCTTTCTCCTAAGGATGCATACATCCTTCACGTTTATCCTGTTAAAAGATGAGTTCATCTCACCTAACTCACACAGGTCTTTTTTTCATCCCCTTTACCATTCTGCTCTCAACTCTTGACCAGCTATCTTAGGAAAATAACCTTCTCTATCCTTTATTTTTAAAGTCTAACATGAGCAGAGTAATAGCAGTACTTAGTAGAAGCAGCAACTACTATCTACTGAGTATTACTTTATGCCAGCAACCATGCTAAGTATATTAATATTCCATTTAATTTTTATAACAATTACATGGACTAGGTTTTACCTGTATTACAGAAGGAAAAACTGAAGCATTGGGTGGTTGGATAATTTGCTTAATACTATACAGCTAATATAACTTATAGCTAGAATTTTCTTGTACTTTAGAATTATAGCCCTAAAATTCGTGCTCTTAATTACTACCCACATTACCTTCCTGGTTACTTTGATATCTATATTATTTTAGCAGTATTATTTTGGTCATTTAAAAATAAGTAACAAAATGTAAAGGAGATGCATCTAAATGGATATTTAAATATAAAAATATGAGTCTCTTTTACGTGTCAAAGAAACCAAATTTTCCCTTGGAAGTGTACCTTAAAAAAATTTTGAACATGGGTGATATAACAAATAGGGGAAACAATGTTAACTGACACTACTATAAATATATTTAATATATAACAAGAGAAAAAAACAACAACCTAGGATAAAAGAAATGCTGATATACCACTATCTCAGAAAAGTAAATCCTAACAAATCCCATATACATAACATCCCTTGACTTGGACAGTCACACCACCCCATTCTATTTCAAACTTTATCTTTCAAGGTTCAGGGCAGATGTCACTTCCTCTAGGAGGTCGCTAATTCCTGCAGGTCAAATTAATTGCTTCCTCCTCTAGATTCTCAAGAGGCTACTCCATGCTTCCAGAGCACTTAGAAAGGTGCAGTAATTGTTTTCTCTCCATCTGTCCTACCAGACTATCAGCTCTTGGAGAACAGGAGCTTTGTGTGTTTACCTTTCTATTCCCAGAACCAGCCAAGTACCCACTTAAAAGTGACTGAGGAATAAACATGTGAATGAATAAAAGAGGGAGCAGAAAACAAGACAGGCAAGATCAGGACTTGGGGAGCACAAAAGCCACAATCTGTTTGTGGTCTATCCTTCACATACGATTATACCAGCCCTCTGAGCAAGTCTTTAGAGCTCAATACATTCAATGTGGCTCATAACCATCTATTTTTCACTTCTGACTACTTTACAAATTCACCTTCTACCAATAAGAAACTAAATATGCTTAGGTATATAAACTCATGTATGTTTGCTGCCTACATTATAAAAAAATTTCCCTTACAAAGTTGTTTCCAGGAATACTTACCATTAAAATGTAGGTGTCCACTATAATTCAAAACACTATGATATATTTGATTTAATACATACTTAGGTGTCTTGACTTGGGGTGGGGAACACAATACAATAGAATATACAGATGCTATATTGTAGAATTATACAACTGAAACCTACATCACTTTATTAACCAATGTCACCTCCAATAAATTATTTAGAGCCAAAGAAACACTAATTCTTCCATGTAATGACTGTCTGCCTTAAGCAATGTATTGCTAAGCCCAGGTCACATAGTTTTTACTGCGTGCGCACGCGCACGCACACGCACACGCACACACACACACACACACACACACTATTAGCCCTAAATGATTGGATTAAAAATCTATAAGCATCCTCTCTTAAAGACAAGTTTTAAGATTAGATTTAAAAATAAAGAAACATATGTACTGAAGAACTAGAAACCTAAAATAGCTACACCTACACACTTTCTAAATAAAGAAATACCACATTCACAGTAAAAAAAAACACCTACTTAGTTTATCAGTTTATTATAAAATAAATAAATTAACATGTCACGATTCTTGTGACTAGGAAGGCAAATAGTGTGGCTACAGACTGATTTACTACTATATGACTCTAGAAAAATGATGATGGTAAAACATGACAATAACGAAGGATGACAAAGATGGAAGCAGCTCAGCTTTCCTGAGCCCTGACTACCCTTCAGATACTTTATATACAATAATTCATTGACTCCCACCAGTACCTTAACATTGTGTATTATTAATATCCTCATTTTACAGGTGAGGAAACAAAACCCATGGTGAGTCCTGTGTCTGCACTAACAACAGCCACTAGCTACGAGTGGCTTTGAGCACTTGAAATATGCTGTGTGACTAAGGAACTGAATTTTTAATTTTACTTAATTTTTATTAATTTAAATTGAAATTGAAATAACCAAATGTAGCTAGTGGCTACTATCTTAGATAATGCAGCTCTGTAAGAACCAAAGAAGTCCAAAAGTCTGTGGTTAGTTTCAGGATAATAAAGTAGACGTGGCAAAAATTGAGGAACAGGTCAGAAGCATTTTGACAATCAGCTTAGTCTAGGGCACTCAGAGATAAGTTCAAATGGTATGAGCCATTAAAACAATAACATAATGTTTAAGGAAATGCAAGAAACAAAATGAATAAACGTTGGGCATGTACAGTGTGCCCTAACTTAACATGGTCAATAGGTTATTGGAAACCGTGACTTTAAGCAAAACGATGTGTAATGAAACTAATGTTTCCATAGGTGAACTGATATAAACAAGAGTTAAGTTCCTATGGCATATTTTTGGTCACAACAATGTCACCAAACTTCTAAATTAAGACCCAAAACACTTCTAATACTAAACACTGAAATAAATGTAGAGCTCTATATATTTATGAAAGATGAATAAAACCAAAAAGAGAATTCTTTTCCAACTGGATTATTCCAGTTCAGGGCCTGGGTGGCTGGAACCTCTCCTGGCAGTTCAAGACGGTAGACAGGATATCCCTCCATAGCAGGGCTACTCACACCCACACCCACACTCACTCAGACTGGGACCATTTAGACACCCAGTTCACTTCACATGCACGTCTTTGGGATGTGGGAGGAAACTGGAGTCCCCAGAGAAAACCCAGCTATGGGGAGAACATGCAAACTCTACACAGATAGCGGTCCTGGGTAGGAATCAATTTTCTTTTTCTCATCAACATTGAAACATTGAATGAAAGGACATTATTTGAGGACCTGCTGTACTGCTATTATGTTCATTTTATTTATAAACCTGCTTAACATGTTGGTTGAAGTTTATAACTAAACTGTTTTTAATGCAAATTCCTTTGTATGGGGCATAGAAATTCCCAAATTTGTTAGAGCACATTATCACTACAATTATTGGCTTAATCAATTTACAATCATCCCATGCTATAAAAAACACCTTTAATAGTCTGCTGCTCATAGCACTCTGGTTTTTGTCCTCCAGTTTTATACATCAAACACAATATGGCTTTAAGTTATTCTTAAGCACACATTCCAGATGATACAGCAGAACATGCTTACAATGAGTTGAGGGATTCATAATATTCTAATAGAAGCTATATGCAGTGTTTTGAAATAAACTGCCCAAATATTTTCAATAAGAACACTTTAGGTTAAAAAAAATACTTTAAGTTTTGCATTTTTACACTTAAAGAAAAATATCACAAAAGAATATTTTATAACCTCTACTCCCCCCCCCCCCCGCCCCACCCCAATCTCATAACCTCTTTATCTTCCTACAAGCACAAAGCTGCTTACGCTTATCATTCATAGCTGTGGGAAACTGAGCCATCATGCTCCTGAATTTTCCTTGCTAGCTCTCAGCCATCTGCAACATAAAAACATTGTGCCATTAATAATACAACAAGGGCAGATCACAGCTTACTGCACCCGCCAAGCAGTGGGAATGTCTGTCCCCTTCAGCTTACACTTCCAACAGAAAACAATGCAGAGCTTCTGCTGCAGCTGAACAGGCAGAATTTACATTTGGGAGAGGGGAGGAGATTTTGTTGGGCAATGGATCGGCCTTTAAAATGGAACCATTTAAAAGAAAAACAGTCACATATTTAATAGCAAATACTGAATAAACTCTTGGCATGAACCAATTTTGTAGAAATTAATTTGGGAAAGAGGAAAGTTATAACTAGGCAAGAAATTATTTCAGAAAAATCAACTGTATAAATTAAATGTAAGTAACAATGAAATCCATAACACTCTTCTTTAAAAAAATCCCCAAACGAGAAAAATCCCCAAAATGAATATAGCATAGCTATTTAATCAAGTTCCACAGGTTTAGAAAAATGGTCTAGAAGTATGTTTTACTTAAACATAATTAAATGTTCTAGGCAAGTGCTCTGAACTTGAAGAGAGGAAATTCAGAAATTTAATAGCTCTGGGTTCAAATCCCAACTCTGCTATTTTCCTAGCTGTAATCATGGAAGAGTTATTTAACCTATTTTGAGTCTCCAATTCATCTGTAAAAATACTTTGCAGGAATATTTTTTAAAGTATTAAACATAATACAGTACACTGCCTGACACACAGTGGGTTTTTAATAAATGGCTTTCTGGGTGCCCAGGAAGGGAGAGTGCAATATAAATCTGAACCCTAAATTCATTCATTTACTCAGAGTAAATTAAATTTTTTTTCCTTGAAACTCAAGGGTAGGAAAAGTTAGGGAGAGTGAAGACCTAACAAATTTATAGTAATATACTGAGTTATATAAACCGAATTGTAAC